ATACTGGCGAACCGAGTCCCGGAAGCATGAAGAGCATGTCTTTGCGGGACAACGGCCCAACGAGCCCCGCGAATATCGTAATCCGGAAGGCTGTTCCCAATGAACGGAGCGCCGGACGTAAGGTATGGCATTACCGAAAATAGGCCTCACGAGCCGGTAAACAATCGTGACCCCGGAACACATATGTCGACGGGTCACGGAGGCGTTTGGCACACGCTGCAACGACCCGTGGTACGCCTGAGAGAGAGAGCGTCGACCATTAGGGAGGGGCGAGATCTGCGACCCAGAACGCGGACGCTGGTCCCTGATGAAACTGATATTTCCTCTTCGGAGAAATTTCGGCGAAGTCCGGTGGGCTACCGTTCGCGTCGCGTTCCTTGCAAACTCTAGGGTGGGGGGAGGGCGTGATCTACTCTACCTCGTTTTCCATTCTATTAAATTCACATACCCAGCTATAGATTTAGACTAGATTCATACTGGCGGTGGATTCATTTATGGTCCACGGCGGCTCCCAGGGGAGGTGATCGCCGAACCCGACCACGTCTCTCCTTGAGGTCGGCTAGAACGGCCTCCCCATGTATCTCTGTCGGAGTCCCGGGACTCCCTCCCTGTCCTTGTGGGGGGTGGTAGATTTGTGAGGGGTACCAGAGGAGGGGGGGCACTTGAACTATTCGGGACACAGGCAGGTAGAGCAATAGGGGGTTGAAACAGACGACACAGCTCTCTCTCGATGATAGAACGTACGCAAGCACGATGATTCCACCCCTGGTACAGACTCGGTCTGTGGGTGAAGCAAAGAGTGAGCCGGTACTCACTTGAGGAGACGAAGGATCGGTTGCCCCGACGACCATATTCCATAGATACTCATTTAGGTAGGGAAGGGACGATCCTAGTGACTCTCCGCCCCCCGGCGAGTACTTCCTCGCCTCCATGTGGCCCGGGCCTAAAAAAGTTGGTCGGGTTGGAAAGCCGGGGGAAATTGCCGCCCCGGGTAATGCCCACCGCAGCCCCGACTATTGCGGCGGGGGCTGTGTGATAGCTACCGGCGCCAGAGCCACAGCTGCGGCCTTGGGGGGGAAAGCGCACTTCCCCTCTCCCGGGAGAAACGAGCAACTAACTAACTAACTAGATGCGATAGACCACGTGCGTTCCCTCGCGGACCAGGCAGTTTCCCGCGGTGGTGTGGCGTTCGCGATCAGTTTAGATATCGCCAACGCCTTTAACACCATCCGCTGGAACACGATCCGGGAGGCGCTCCGATAACACGGGGTGCCTCCGTATCTCCGGATCGTGCTGCGGGACTACCTGTCGGACAGGGTGATCGAGTACCCCGGTCGGGGTGGCGCAATCGTGCGGCGGAGAGTCAACCGAGGCGTGCCCCAAGGGTCCGTTCTTGGACCCCTACTGTGAAACGTGGGGTACGACTCGGTGTTGCGCGGGTTCCTCCCGCCCGGTGTGCGTGTCGTCTGCTATGCGGACGACACGCTGATCATCGCGGTCGGGAGAGAGTGGACGAGGACCATCCGCATTGCGGAGGTGGCGGTGGCACTCATCGTCGCCAGGATCCGGGACCTGGGTTTGCAGATCTCGCCGCCAAAGACGGAGGTAGTCATGTTTCATGGACTGCCTCTGTCGCGGCGGGTCCCCCAGGCCTGGGTCCGAGTAGGAGACGCCTGTGTCCGGGTCGAGGGACGTATGAAGTACCTCGGCCTCGACCTGGACAGCCGCTGGCGCTTCGAAGAACACTTTGACCGTCTGGTCCCCCGGATTGAGGGCGTGGCGACCCTGTTGGGTCGTCTGATGCCCAATCTCGGGGGGCCGGAGGAGAGGGTCCGCCGCCTCTACATGGGGGTGGTGCGAGCGATGGCCCTATACGGGTCACCCGTGTGGGCCCGCGACCTGATGGCCCGCCGGCGGGGCCGGCAGCTACTGCGGCGCATTCAGCGCCGCATGGCCATCAGGATCGCGAGGGGGTACCGCACCATCTCCCACGAGGCGGCGGCTGTCCTGGCTTTTGATTTCCAGGCGGAGGCTGACGCCGATCTGTATCGGTGTCTGCAGGCCCTCCGCCGGAACGGGTTCGACCCTCCGGACGACGCGGTCGTGGTGATGAAGCGCCAGGGCCGGCGGCTCGCTCGCGAAAAGTGACGGCGCCAGCTGTATGACAGCGGCGCCGCCCGGCAGCGAGCCGTGGGCGCGGTCCTGCCCGTCCTTGATGGATGGCTGGACCGTCGGCACGGCAGGCTATCCTACCGGCTCACGCAGGTGCTCACCGGGCACGGATGCTTCGGGGGGTACCTGCAGAGGGTTGGAGCCGAGGCGACGGCAGAGTGCCACCAGTGCAGCGCGGAGGTTGACTCCGCGCAGCACGTGTTGGAGGAGTGCCCGGCCTTTGCCAGGGAGAGGCGGGCACTCCGGTTAGAGATAGGGGGAGACCTCTCGCTCCCGGCCGTGGTTTCGGCCATGGTGGGGAGCGAGAGGTCGTGGAGTGCGGTGTCCTCCTTCTGCGATACCGTCGTCTCGCGGAAGGAGGACGACGAGCGGGACAGTGAGGCGCGCGATCCCGCTCGTCGAGAGAGGGTGAGAGCGAGGCGGGGTCGTGTGCGGGGCCGTGGGGCCCGCACAGCTGGCCCCGACGGCGCCGCCGGGGGGCGGG